CCTAAACCAATTTTGACATTGTGATAGCACTCAGCATCCTATTATGTGTGTGTGTGTTATGCTGGCAGGTCAAAGTGACGTGTGTTGGAGTGTGCACCCCCTTGCCATCTGCAGTTTTGTGATTTCTTTGTGGTATTATACAACATCTCAGTTGGTATAGAAACAATGCATGAACCAATCCTATCGAACCGACTCTGACTGCAAGGATGGCGTCATCCCCACTTATTTTTGTGTGTCTTGCAGTCGTCACTTCCCGAGAGTCGTCATGGAGATAAAACACGGACCGCAGGGCCAAAGGAAAGGTGTTCACTGTTCTGTCACCGTAACCTCTGCTTTAACCCCTTTCTTTGTAACTCATTATTTAATCCACCATGATATACATACTGTATATACATAAGACAAATATATTTACAGAGTTTTGCTACTGTAAACACTGCAAAGAATCTGTATGAAATGTAAAATAATTTAGAGTCCTTTTACCTAGAGCAATTACTATCACTGTATATTTAAATATAATAAAAATGTGCATTGTGTTTTAGCTAATATTTTGTTGAGTGGTTGTTTTTCTTAATGCCCTGTTGGATCATTGTTACAGCTACAGTTGCTATGAGTGAAGGTACAGTGCATCTAGAATACCCAGCAGTAAATAATTAACACACCAGTGTGCACTTTCTAAAAATGACAGTACCAAGAAGAGCCTATGTGACATGAATTATGAATACGTTTTAGGTACTGAAATATGCATGCTCTCGTCATAGCTTGTGCTACATGGGTGCTTTCACCCACAATCGTTCTTGGGCCTTTTATATCTGGTATTTACAGGTTACTGCTCGAAAGTTCACAGATGGAAATGTGGCTGACATCCTGGTAACGCACATGATGTAACACTGTATATCTACAAGACACGTGACCATAAGGGCCCCCGGGAACAAACATCATCTATGAGAGACGACTAAAGATGTTTTTAATTGAAAATGCACATTGTTGATGGTCTGTTGTGTGTTCGTACTATTAGTAAGAAAAGCTTTCTTTTTAGCACCAAAAGATGTCTGGGGAAAAAATGTTGACTTCATCCTTCTGACTTAAAAAAAAAAAATGGCAACAAAATAACTAATTGTGTAGTTATTTATTTATTAGCTGACTAATCAAATCCTGGCATAAGAATAAGCACACAAATGCAGAAAGTCAGGCTTCTACACAAGACTTTCTTCCTCCACCCCTTTCCTGTTTGTTTACCCCGGGGAGTAAATATGCCGGCCGTTACACACTGAGAGTGACGTGAGCTTCCTTGCGCTCCAGAAAAAGCCCCGGACGGAAACCTTGCAGGTTTCTATAAATACTCACTTGGCAGGTATAATTCCAAGCAGCCACATCTTTTCTTTCCATTTAAATAGACACATTGAAAAAAAAAAAATCAAATTGAGTATGTGTTATTTCCACTTTATGCCATTGTTGTTCCTCCTTAGCTGGTGTAACATAACCTTTTCTGTTTAGTTAGATCTTATGATTAATTATGTAGAATGGGATTTTACTGAGAAGACTCAAAGCTGTCTGGCTTGGTAGCGGTTAGCTAAGCTGTTTAGATCCCACTGTCTGCACAAGACCACATGGTGCAACGCTGACGCCTACCTGTGGACACGAGGGACGCTTCACATACTCTTAAACTCAAAAAGTCTTTCACTTTCTATTTCCTCCCTCGGACTTGAAACTAATGAGCCCTTTTAAATAAAAACAACAACAATCTTGAACTTTTGTAGATACCGTTTTTTTCCTAATACCCTACAAAGTGATCCACTTTATACTCACGCACAATCTCGAAAACAGGACATTAACAGATTATCCTGTTTTGGGACACCACGCTGAGGGAATTATTATTGTTCATAGAATGGTACCAAATCCACGAGGTGTTGGATTAATACAAAAGGGGACGCAAAGTTGAACATTTGACCACTTTTGTATGAAAACTGATGGAAAGGATCTTCTTGGGGTTGGACGAGAGTGAGCATCTGCACGTCCACATTCTGGAGACGGATGGGGGCCACAAGTTAATGAGTCTGACCTACGGCTGCGTCAAACCGAGTCATTACGCACGAATGGAAACATCCTTACTGATAACAAGAAATGCATCAGATAGTAAAGTAGAAGGACAAATGATGGCACAATTGATTTGAGTAGAAACTTTACTTTCACTTAGGATACAAATAACTGTTACTTACTTACTGTTCATATTGCACAACTATTTCTTACTGTACATATCTATTTATTCACTTATTACACTTATGCACATACTCTGCACTTTTTGCTATTTTGCACTCTGGTTGGATGTTAAACTGCATTTCGTTGCCTCAGTACTTGTACCCTGTCCTATGACAATAAAGTTGAATCTAATCTAATCTAAAAAATCTATAAAAGTATATAGTGTTTGGATACAATTTACTTGGATTTTATTGCTTGCAACACATTTGTAAATAAACTGGGAAACTGCTTATTCTACTGTAACGGCGTTTCCACCTTACTGTATTTCCTCAATCCATTTTGCACTACAACAAAGTTCTGTGTTTTACCATATAATGCTAATTTGTGCTGGATGGCTCCGAGGGAACCTCTTTAAGAAACCCCTGACCTCAAAACGGAAACACGTAAGCTACAAATCCTAAAAAGAAACTGAGGTGATGGTAAGCGTGAACCGAGAAGCATAGCAAAATAAATAGTGTGTGAACATATAGCAGAAAGTAGGCTGCACAATACACATGGAGACCGCTGGGTGGGCAGTCATCTTAAGTAGGCCCGTCCCGGCAACGTGCACGGGACACGATCAAGAGTTGGGGTGGGGGAGGAGGGGGGTTACTTCTTATAGATGTAGGTGTCTGGTCCGGCTGTGGCTGGTATTGGACGAGCCAAAAAGCGAGAAGTGCTCCCAAAACCAGGTTAGCCGCTGTCACACGCACAGTGAATTTGGACACTGGCACAATGTGCGTTAGTCAGTGGCTTACCTGCTTTTAGATGTCTCTGATATCATAATCACGAGCACACATTATCTGTAGAGAAACTGTGAAATTAAACAGGAACATATCAGACATACACAGCCAACATAAAGTAAGGAGAATAGTGGTACACCTTCTAATAACATCCCTTTTGCTTAGAATGTAACGTTATCCAAATTAATGCGTTACATTTTAATGGTAATGAAAAACTTCCAATATATAAGTAATTAAATATGACAAGTGTAAAAAATGTCAAGAGAAGTAACATCTAACGTAATGGATGTGGCCCATTCATGCATGCCATATAGAATAAAGAATAGTGGCAGATAAAGGAAGCTACTTACCCAAGTTTTCTTTTGTATTAATCCTAAAATAAAATCATATATAATTTCCGCCGATGGGACCCAACCAACTATCAATTAAAAAATCACATATATTTTTCCTCTAAAATGAATCATTGTGCACGGTTAAAGTTAAGTGCACATTGATGAAATTGTATTGCCTACACCGACACAGACACAGACACACAAGTTCGGTTCACTCGCATTACTCCTACCATGCCCACTCCCCTGCATCTGCAACCTGACCTGGTTATGCAAATCGAAAAGAAACTGTATTTACAATACAGCCAATGGGCTGTTGCGTTTAAGTTGAACGCCGCATCAATTTAAGATAATCGACCAATAGAAATCGCGAGGAGGCGGGGCCGGCAAGGCCAGCACGCGCGGCTGACTTCGTGAGTTATAGTTGGGGTGCGGCGCGTTCAGTTCTGCACGTCGTACATTAGGAATAAACCATTATCTTATAACAGTGCCCCGTCCTCGCCGACCATATATCGCAAACTGAAACGTGAATCAGTCTTCCACCACCCTCGAAAAGACGCCGTGTGTTGCCCCAGCTGCTCCTGGAGGGGGATAAACCGACTTTAGGCGGTTTGACAGAGGTCGCCTCTACCCCTACAGCGTGAAGTGGTTGAACTCGGCTCGCTTGTGTACAGTGTTGCCATGAGCGGAGTGTGGATGTGCACGTACCAAGGAAGCAGCACATGACGGTGTGATCTGACGGTGACGACCAAGTGGAGGAGGAGAGGTGGTAGAGCACGATGTTCGAGGAGCACAATTATTAAATGAGAGTTAGGAATCCACGGAATTACAGTGCGCAGCATAAAAGACATTTGAGGCTAACAAATCAGAATTATATTTGTTTAATCTTTTCAATCGCAGCAGCACACGAATACAGTTATGTTTGGATACTTCAGTACAACCGTAGATATAAGTACTATTTTTAGACAACTACTCATGACATGATTAATTAAAAAGGAAAATCTAACAGCATCCCATGTTTGGATAAAGGCGAAACATTTATTTACTTTCCACTCATTGACCTCCTTTCAATTTGTCAACCGGAACATGATGTTCTTCCCATGTTTTTGTGTTTATTTTTTTGTTCATAATATACAACAACATTTGGGATAAGATTTGTCTATTCTAGAGCTTTTCTCCTTGACAGTCTTTAACACAAAACGTGCTGTTGGATTATTCCCAACCAGGATACACATGACCCCATGACACATAGTAGAAAATCGGGGTTAGATCACGTTATGTAACCTGAGGTTTGGTCAAATCGGGGTTACCGCTGGGGGGCGACAGCATCACTTACAGCATCACGGCCTGTTTGTTGTTTGAAACAATCGTTAATCTCTCAATCAGTTTGTAGTTAGGGTTTGGAGCTATGTGTAAAATATAACCATGTCCAAATGTTTGATTATTAACACGTTAAAAAGGTACACAGATTTTAAGATGTCTACTTTTACTCTAAAATTAAAACATTTGCTATTTGTTATCTCTTGTCGATCCACGTATCAAAACAATATAATACGATTTTACAAATCACACTATACACCTTTATAAATATATATATGAATATTCTGTGTTTTATATCTTCACCTGCTGCGTCTATAATAAAACGAGTACTGTCTCTTTAAGAGTTACAGTTGCGCTCTGCTGCCTTTTCCGTCTTCAGGCAGCCGGTGGTGTCAGTCATCAACCGTGGAGACTTCAAAAAATGACCGTGAATTACTGAGTAGGTTTTCAATTATCGTGAAATGCTCGAATAAGGAACCGCAGTTATGAAGGTTGAATGGGGTTCTCGGGTGACGGCTCGCTCACGTCGCCCCGCAAACCGAGCGCCTTTGGCCGCAGTCCGAAGGAGCTTTTAGTGGACGTTTGCTAAATTTAGCCATTGTGAGCCAAGCTAACACGCTACACTGAAGCTAACGTTGACTGCTAGCATAAGTTGTTCTTTAACAACAGCGTTGAAGGTTAGTCCCGTGCTATTGTCAGTGCAAACATCTGTAGCACATACACATTTACAAATACACCACATGTACGTTTTATCCGAAATCTACTTGGTGCTACGCTTTCTCCTTTTGTTTACAAATGTAGCTGCAGTGTGCTGCAGGTTGACGCTCGCTAACGAGCTGTTAATAGCTAACCATTTTATTTTAAACTCGTTTTATTAATGCTGCTGTTCACAGTTTCTGAGCTACCCACGAGTTCCCAAGTGTTGGTTTGCAGTCTAAACTCCCAGCGTGGACTAATGTCATTGTGGATGAATATATTTCCTTCAGCTCCTGCCCACTTCTAAGCAGTGAGCAGACTTGGGCTACATGCAACCACCACACTCACACTCTAATTTTTGTGATGCTTGTTTTTGAATATTTGTTTTCAATAGAAATCCATAGATTTTTCTGTTAAATAACACTACCTTTAATTCTGGTCTGTCCTTGAAGGATTCCTTCAAAGTAAAGCTGTCAAGAAATTGTTGTGGCAGTATTTTTTCTGATGGTCAGCCATGGATGAAGACGACAGCCAAGATGAGCTGATCAACCGCAGCGCGTCCCACAGCAAAGGGAAGAGGACCGCGCTGTGGGCCATCTCAGGTAGTCCGTGCAACACTTTTTCGTTGTGTGTAAGGTGACGAACTGATGGGGAGAACGAGCACCCAATGTCATCCGCTCCCACGACACACGTTACTAACGCCGCATGCATTTGTGCTCCTTTCAGATGACTCAGACAGTGGTGAAGAGGAGTCTGAGGAGGGAGAATCTGACAGTGGTGAGGAAGAAGAAGAGGGGCATCGAGATGGAGAGGATGACGAAGAAGACGACGACGACGATGAGGAGGAGGAGGAAGATGAGGAGGAAGATGGTAAAAGTGACAGATTTTTTATATATTGTTATACGGTCTTTTCTATAATTAAAATATGCACTTTGTTTTGATATGCTCATATTTTTGCTCACATAAGTTGTAGCGTATAGAGCCTTCGTTTTCCTGTAGAGTTGAAAGAGGAAAAATAACCTTCTGCAGTACGCATGTTTATGTTTCTGCTGTTTGTGCTGAAATAATCTCTTTTAATATAGTATGTATAGTACAATCACAACGGATTTCAACACTTCCATCAGATGGCGTCGAGGAGGGAGATGCTAAGGCCGAGGATGGAGCTTCTGGGGGAATCCCTATTGATCTTGCGGAGATGAGCTCGGACGAGGATGCAGAAAAGTGTCCCATCTGCCTTAACTCATTCAGCAGCCAGCCTGTTGCAACACCAGAGAGCTGCGAGCACTACTTCTGCCTCGACTGCATCCTCGCATGGGCCAAGGTGGGTCCCACATAATGTCGAACAGGCCCGAAGAGAAAGCCCTTTGTTGGAGAGCACCTTGTGTCTTTCGATTAGCTGTAAATCCTTTGCACTCAAGAAGCATCTGTGGGGAAGGAAGCTCAGTGATTGATTTCAATTCCTTTTGTTTCCCCGCTTTTCAGAATGCCAACTCTTGTCCCGTAGACCGCATTGCCTTCAACAGCATATACCTAAGAAAATGTTATGGAGGCAAGGTGAAGAAAATGGTGAGTGCATTCAGTCTTGGTAGCTTCACTCCTGAAACTCTTGTTACACCCGTCCAAGCGATAAACATCATTTTGTGTGGCCGGTTTGTTTTCTTCCTTTAGATCACGGTACAAAAGCCCGTGAAGGAAGGGCTAGAGGAAGTAATCGATGTGGACCTGGAGCAGACCAGATGTGAAGTCTGTAGGGGGAGTGACCGCGAGGACCGTCTATTGCTCTGCGATGGCTGTGACGCTGGGTGAGACAGATATTTTGAACCTAAATAACCCTCTCTTAGTCAGCTTTTATTCAATATTATGCACCTAAATAACCCGCTCTTAGTCAGCTTTTATTCAATATTATGAACCTAAATAACCCTCTCTTAGTCTGCTTTTATTGTGTGATTTTGTTATGCCTTTTTGTTCCACAGGTATCACATGGAATGTCTCACGCCCCCCCTTGACTCTGTTCCTGTGGAGGAATGGTTCTGCCCTGGATGTGAAGCCAGCAATCGTCACTCAAGTACGACTTTAAATTATTTGCAAAAAAAAAAAAAGAGCTCAAACAATATTTTGCACTTATTAGTCCTTTACAGACTGGACACAAATGACCATATATGATGTATTTCAATTAATTCACTTCATTATGCTTTTTGTTTTGTATTTGTCACTTTGTGCATTTCATCTCGATTAAAAAACGCAATACTTAGCATCTCCTGATTCCTTATATTAGAGGGGCCATGTTTTAGAAATAGTTTGCGCTACTTGGTATTTATTTTGACAAGTGCTAGAAAAAAAACGGAACACTTTGTTGACAACAAGTCAGACGTTAAAATATTTTTGCCTCAGGGGCTTCAGCTGATGATGTGAGTGATGCAGAGAGCCTGCCATCTACTGCCCGCCCTGCCACCAGTCGCCCCCAGTCCGCCGCTGCAGGTCCCACCAGAGCTATTGCCCGAACTCAGCAGAGCGAGAGGGTTCGGGCAAACGTCAATCGCCATCGCATCACACAGGCACGCTCATCGCAGGTTTGGCATGAGGCGTGACGCTTCGGTGTTGGCTTACTTTCTAACTAACCTCCACTGCATCTTTTGGGCTGAATATCGGCTGCCTCATTGAGTTGTGCGTTTGTGTGATGTACTTTAGCGTAGCTCACAGTAGAAATGGTTACATGTGGTTTGGACATTTGTTGAGTTCGATTGGGGATTGAAGTGCTTGGGTTTAGGCTGCAACGTTTTGTCAAAGCGTACTAGCTGAGTGATGCAAACATTTATCTTCCTAGCTGGCTCCCACGTATCTGATTCAGTCCAATTGGCTGGACGATACTATCAATGCCGTTGTGTCCGGGCTCAACACGGCCGTGTATATACGGGACTTGACACCTCGTGTCCCATCGAGCAGCAGGCGCAAGACCGGTAGGTCGTCCCACACGCACACATTCACAACTGTTTTCTGATCGTTATCACATGCACACGCATGAACAAATGTAATGGACAGACCATCAAGAGACGTTTGTAAGGTGGGACGTCTTGTACGACTTTACAGGGAAGCGCAGAAAGGTAAGAAGGAGGAAGACGTCCTCTGCTACGGGTAAATCCGGCACAGGAGCCCGCAGGCGGAGACGGAAAGTGAGAAGAACTAAATCCCGAAAAAATCTGGTGAGTGTGACTCCAAGACCAGTGTTGACCGTTCAGATAATTCGATTTTAAATGTTTCACTCAATGAATCTTAACATGTAAATGTGAGCCATGAATTTCGCATTAGAAGGATTTTTAATAATGAGTTTCCATAAATAATGAATAACACCCAATCATTTTATGCATGTTGTAGTTGTGAGATGCTTTTCTCTCTCGAACACTATACCCATTTTTTTCTCCCACTAGATGTTGCAAAAGGCTGCCACCCCTCGGGGCCGTATCGCCAGTAATCTCAGAATTGTAAAGGACACGAAGAACTCTTCGCTTCCTACAGTCTACCGGCCGTCAGAGCAAACGCTGAGCAGCATGCGCGCTGACATAGGTGCAGCATCCCTCTCCATCTATGGAGATCCATTCGACCTGGATCCATTTGTGGATCGGTAAGAAGACTTGTGCATTCCTGAAGGGCTGACCCAAATAGCAAACTCAAATATCTCTTGTTTTTAATATTGTACGTTGAGCAAGTACTGCATAGAGATGGCTGCTAGTAGCACTCACACACAGTGGTCCTCAATCCCAGTAACTCCTTTGTGTGCTGCTGAGCATACAGTTTTAATCTGAAAGCAAATGGTGTCTTACAGTATCGATTTGAACAGCGACGGGGAAGGACAGCAGGCCCGTGTTACAACGATCTTGGAGGCCAAGAGACGAGGGATCTCTCGCTCCGCTCTTCGCTCCCACCAGCCGGTAGCTCGCCCAGTCACTGCAGGTGTTTCCAGGTAACATCAGCTTTAACAGGAAGTGTAAGGGTTGGTTATCCAGAACCGGTCTTATTTGGGAATGTTCCATATTTGTAGATAGCGGGCTAATGTGTTGATGCTTAATCAACGGCGAATGTGACCAACAATTTACTGTAGCATGTTATAATAATTTAGGGTTTTCTCAATAGAAGTTATAATGATGACCCAGAAATGATTGTAAACAATGTCCATCACATCATAGAGAACATTTATCAAACAGTACCTTGCTATTTAGGACATTACATTCAGCAGATTTAGACAAAATTCCTTTGTCTTTTAAATAAAGACGATTAAATGTGTAATCATTTAGGTTAAGAACCAAATATAATGAGAAAATGAACAGTAATTCCAAAGACTATTACAAATCAGAATCGTAATTGGAAGTAGGATTAACGCGACTAAAGGTTTGCTCTGCTTTACCAGGAGAGGTATGAATATCCACCAATCAGGGGGCGATGTGGAGGTTTCTCCTGTACCCGACCTCCTGGGCAGCATCCTGTCGGGACAGAGTGTCCTCTTGATGGACAGCTCTGATGTCGTTATTAATCGGGATGGTACCCTTAAAGCTATAAAGCCAAGTAAGTGTGTGTGTGTTTGTGTGTGTGTGTGTGTGTGGCACATTTTTAAACACAAAATCTAATCAGTAATACTGAATTACATTTGTTATAGCTGTTGGATTGAAGACACTTGGTGGTTTGTGAGACTAATAGAGGACAAGAGATCCGACTTCATCGTAATTGTTCCTTTTTGAAATATCAAATTATCAAACTAATAATACTAAACCGAGCCATCCTGCAAAGCTCGCCTGAAAAGAATCCAAAGTTAGTACCTTTTCTAATTCATTTGATCAAATTATTGCTGTATCCTGTTGCTTATAATTGTCTTGTTAATGTTTTGTAAATGTCTTGTTGGTATCTCCAAACTGTTTATATGTGAATGCAATAAATGGTGAATAATGAGGGAAAACCAAGCGCTTGGTTGGTCAGGTTAGGAAATATTATATAAATATATATAAAAATAATATATAGTTATTTCTCACTCACTCTCAGCTGACTGACTGCCTGAGTCTGCTGCTCTTCTTTTGTTGTTGTCCCCTGTAACACTGTGACGTGTTACTCCTGAATAATTTCTGTGAGCAATATATAAATTTGTATAATCTGACGAGGAATGCAGAAAAGCCAGAAATCATCCCACTCTTTAATTGAGTTGATCCTTTCTAATTTCCTTGTGTTACAGCGATGCCGTCCGCGTTAAATCCAAGTTGCAGTAGCTCAGGAGACGCCGGCGCCCAGCTCAGCCCGGGGATGTCGCCGAACCAGGGAGACGCTGCTCAGTCTTCCAGCTCCAACGGAGACCTCGCGGGGTCCTCCCACAGGTCTATGAACAGAACTACCCCCCAGAGCTCTTCTCGCTTGCCCCCCCAGATGCCCTGCTCAGCCAGCCACATCCACCCACCCTCCCATTCGGACTTGCCACCCAGAGGTCATCCGAGGCTCCAGCCGCCTCGTCCATTAGGACCCACACGCCCTCCTGGTCACTGGAGAAACGTCGGAGTTGAGGAGCCCGGCCCCTCTTCCTCCGTCCACCCCGCGCTCAGCTCCGCCTCCAAGAGTAAGGGAGGGGCCTCATCCCGGTCCCAGCATCAAAAAGCAACTACGAAGCCCGCGTGGGTAGATGTGTCAGTGCTTCCCAGGATACCAAAAATAAAAAGGGAGAGCAGTGGCATCGCACAGGAAGGCACTAGCCACGGCGGCAGCAATAAAAGCAGCAGCAGCAGCAGCAGCAGCAGCAGCAGCGGCGGCGGGACAGGCAATGGTAGTAATTCTGCCAGCGGTAGTAATGGTTACCGTGTGCCAGAGACAGGCATGACCTGCTTTACTGGGGACAAGGGGAGGCAGCAAAGTGTGGACCGGCAAAAGGGTCGACCCGATGGTCCGGCTCCGAGGCAGAGGCCCGATGGATCCGGCTCCTCCTCAACCTTCTCCAACTCGTTCTCCTCCTCCTCTTCTTCTTCGTCGTCCCCCGGCGGCTCTTCTGCCAGCCACCCGCATTACTCCCTTCCTTCCTCGTCATCGTCGGCGGTAAGCTTCCGCATTAACTCCAGTGGGAACTCCTGGCAGTCGAGGCAGCTGAGCAGCTCGTCGTCCTCGCCTGCTGGAGGCGGTGCGCAGACATCTCGGAGTGCGAAGGCAGATGAGGCAAAAAAGCGGCAGATGCACAGGGACAAAAAGATGCTGCTGGCATCACGCGTGCTGGGCAGTAAGGAGCCAGACAGTGAGACCATCTATGATCCCTTTGATCCCACACTGTCAGACTCCAGCAGCTCAGGTGGCGAAGCTGAGAGCGCAGCCCTGGAGGTGCACGCGCATCATCCCGCACTTCAGGGGAAGCCTCCCGGTTTGGCCAATAAAAAGGTACTCGTGAAAAGCGAGCGGGACCTCGTTAGTGTGAAAGCTGAAAGGCAGGAGGTTGACGTCTCACAGAAAGAACCAAGAAGAACGGGTGCTCAGCAGAAGGCCAAATGCTCATATGACAATGTCAAGGTAGAAGAAGAACATAGATCAATAGACATCAAGACTGAGAAACAAACGTCGTTACTCGCCACTTCCAAAGTGAAGACTGAGCCCGGGTTAGTGGACACAGGAGAAGATGAAAGGTTTGGTCGCAGCGGAAAAAGTTTCAAGTCAGAGAAAGCGGATGACACCACAGCCGCTTATCAAAGTCTGCGTGCTTTAAAGACTGAGAGAGAGGCCCTCGATGAGGAGAGTGGACAAAGTGTTGACTGTGAGAGCAGTTCATCAGCCCCGAGCGCCGCCCCCACCGAGAAGAAGCTCAAGCTTGAAACATCAGATTCCAAACCCTCTCCCGCGTCAAAAGATTTAGGCCAAGAGAAGAATTCCTTCAGGGCTGCAAAGGAGATACGCTGTAGCAGTTCAGAGAGGGACAGAGACTGCAGAGCAGACCATCGGGCCGTGGGCCAGGAAGGCCGACTGAGAGGGAAGGAGAAGGAAAGAGGACGGAGCTCCAGAGAGACGACGAGAAGGGCGCGCTCGACTTCAGAAAGCTCCTTGTGGAATTCCCCAGATGAGACTCGCAGGAAGAGACGGCGGTCCAGATCCAGAGACAGGAGGCGATCTAGGTAAGTACATAACACTGTTTCCAATATTCATGGCGTCAACTGTTTAGTAGCTGTCAGTTTGTTGCGGAGATCTTTTTTTTTTTAATGAGGCGTAAGCGGTTTTCTTCAGGTCTGGTTCCAGCTCCAGCAGCAAAGAGCGTTCAAGGAAGAAGAAACCAGAACAAAAGAGCAAGGAGCGCTCTGATGACCGAGAGAGAGACTGTGACAGAAGACGGGTATCAACGGACAAGAGACGCGGCCGGTCCAGGTCCAGGTCACAGGAAAAAAAAAATGTACGGTCTTGCTCCAGATCCCGATCCCGATCGAGGGAAAGGAGGAAAGACCACACGCAACTGCAACCATCGTCCCTCTCCTCCAGAGACAAGGAGTCACAGTCAAGAGAGAGGAAGGGACACGGGTCTAGATCGAGCTCAAGAGAGAAAAAGAAAGAAGGGTCACCATCAAAGAGTTCTCAGAAAACCTGCATTTCGTCCTCTAAAGACACAAAACTCTTACAGGGCAAGAAAAAAGACAAGGATGTCAGTCAAAGCTCCCTCAAAGACGACAAAGCTGCCGCAGTGACTAAACTGAGAATTGCCGCCACTGAAATTAGAAAGAAAGACAAAGACTGCTTGAGCGCAACCGTGGAAATATTGAAAGAGATAAAAATTGAAAAAGACATTAAGAAAGAAAAACAACAATCTCTTGGCATGTTTGAAGACTGTTGTTCTCCTGCGCAACAAATCAAGAAAGAAGAACCCGACGCTCGTCGTCCGACCGCAGCTAAAGACGAGGAGGGAAGCAGAGAAGACCCCATTAAGACGGAGATGTTTGAAATCAAGACGGAGATCTGTGAAGCCCCCTTCGTTAAATCTGAGCCAGGTTCCCCAGAGTTGTGCCACTTCACCTCGTCCCCTGCCCCGATCACGGCAGACGCTCTCCGGGAAGCGCCGGCCGCTGCGTCTCACGCAGAGTCCACGGCCCCCGTGGGACAACCGGGCGCCTCCGGGCTGCCTCTCCCTGTGAAGCAGGAAGTTCTGCAACCCTCAGACGACGACGACGATGACGACGACTTTAACGTGGACGTCATGCTGGACAATCTGGACCGTGTGAAGTCTGAGTGCGCAGGGGAAAGCGCCGCGTGCGTCGAACAAAAGCCGGAGGTCGGAGAGGAGAAGAAAGAACCGGTGTCTGCTGCAGGGGGAGCAAAAGCTAAGGCTCAGGTGAAGAGGGTTACCTGGAATATACAGGAGCCTGAGGGGCCTCAGCCACAGAAATCTGCAAGCAGTAAGTGTTGCCGCTTCATTGCTCCACTTTTTATTCTTTCTGACGCGCACGTTCAACTTGTGGAGAACTTCATCTTGACGTTCTCTGGATTTTGTCTTGTGTAGAGCTTTCTCTGTACAAATTGAAGCTGAAGCAGGAAGGAGCTCGCAGACCCTCTTCAGCCGTCCAGACCTCCAGTCAGGTAGGACGCAGTCGTGCGTTACCGCGGAGACGGCCTAACATTTCTGCAGACTAGTTTTTTTAGTCATCAAGTGTACAAAGAGGTTAAATGACCAGAAGGTGGCAGTGTTTATCCAGAGGAGGCAGACGTGTTCTCTACAGTTTGCTTCGTCATGGTCGATACTGAAGTAGTTTCGAACAACAAAAGTAAAGTATTCTTTGAAAATTACAATGGAAAACTGTTGTCTACGCATTTAATCACACATTCCCTACTAAGTCCTTTGCACAGTCGTTCCTACAAAAGCTTTGGACTACAATATGAGACTGTGTATTTTGAAATGCAGTGCATCCGGAAAGAATTCACAGCGTCTCACATTTTGTTATGTTACAGCCTTATTCCAAAATTCATTTTTTTCCTCAAAATTTGACATACTACATGGTGACAAATGCTTGATAAAAGGTTTTTCAAATTCATTAAAAATAAACGAAATTCACAGCCTTTGCGCAATACTTTGTTGAAGCACCTTTTGGCAGCAGTTACACCCTAAAGTCTTAAGTACGATGCCAAAAGCTTGGCACACCCGTTTCTGGGAAGGTCCTCCCATTCTCCTTTGCAGAACCTCTCAAGTTCCATCAGGTCGGATGGGGAGAGTCATTGCGCAGCCATTTTCAGTCAGGGCTCCGACCCGGACATTCAGAGTTGTCCTTTGTTGTCCTGGCTGTGTGCTTCGGGTTGCTGTCCCGTTGAAAGATGAACCGTCGCCCCAGTCTGAGGTCCACAGCGCTCTGGGGCAGGTTTTCATCGAGGATGTCCATGTGCATTGCTGCATTCATCTTTCCCTCAATCCTGACTGGTCTCCCAACTTCCTGCCACTGAAGAGCATCACCGCAGCGTGATGCTGCCACCACCACCACGCTTCACCGCAGGGATGTTGCTGGCCAGGCGAGGAGCAGCGCCTGGTTTCCTCCAGACGTGATGCTCTGCATTCAGGCCAAAGACTTCAACCTTTGTTTCATCAGACGCAGAGAATTTTGTCTCTTGTTGAACGAGAGTCCTTCCGCTTTGGCGAACTCCAGGTGGACTGTCATGTGCTTTTTACCGAGGAGGGGCTTCCGTCTGGCTTTGTTTTTAATAGATTTGCAAAAATTTCCCAAAACCCCTTTTCACTTTCATTATGGGGTATTGGTGTGTAGACTTTTTAGAAAGAAACATGTCTTTCCAGTTTGAAATAAGGCTGCAACATAACAATGTGTAGATCGTGAAGCGCTGTGAATACTTTCCGGATGCACTCTTGATCGACAATGGGAAATTATAATGGCCATTCTTCACCATTTTCCCACATTATGTTAAAATAAAATGTAAAATCTGTCTTCATTCCTATAATCTCTATTTACTTAAACAGGAAATTCCCGGAGCTGCCAGACACCCCTCCAAGACCACTGCTGTTGGTCCGCTCAGTTCCTCCTCGACATCCGAAGGGGAGCAAGGAGACGCGGAGGAAGGGGATTTGCCGAGGAAAGACCAGGTGACCCCGGCTTTTGAATCCATAGGCTTTGAACAGTCAACGAATCTTTGGTTGTAAATAAATGTCCCTACGCCCACTACAGCATGCTAAATAATAGCCAGCATACTAATTAATAGAACCGCTAATTTTGCTGTTTTACTTTTGCCGTCAGTATTTGAAGAAGCTGCACATGCAGGAGCGAGCTGTGGAAGAGGTGAAGCTTGCCATCAAGCCTTTCTACCAGAGGAGGGACATCGACAAGGACGAGTACAAAGAGATCCTACGCAAAGCCGTCCAGAAGGTGGGTTCACGTGTGGTTTTGTCGCCGACCGCCGATCAACTTAAAACGGGACCAGAATTGACATGTGCGACTGTGTTGTGTTCCTGGTCATCAGGTGTGCCACAGCAAGAGTGGGGAGATCAACCCTGTGAAGGTGGGCAATCTGGTCAAGGCATACGTGGACAAATACAAACACGCAAGGAAACACAGGAAAGGAGAGGACTCGGGACAGGCACAGGAGGCTGAGGATGGGAGGACCTCTGACAGCCCATGAGGGGGTGTAACAAAAAGGCGAGGACGGCTCCAAGCACTAAATGTTTCACTTTGTGTCCTGCCACCATCAAACTCGGGCTAACACATTCGTGACGGCTGCTTGAGATTTTGCTCAAAGCTTCGAGATGGAACACTTCCTGTAAAGTCGAGCTGTCTATCCTGAAGTTTCAGGACAAACTTTGAATTTGTTTCCGTTGACCACTTGATTTCTGCCTGATGACGTAGTGCTCTTGGACCGGCCCCTCTGTTCACTCCGGCTCAGCGACTTCCTGGGAGACCTTGAGGTTGTGCCTTGAAGAGGCAAACCGCAAAGCCCCCTCATGAAGCGCTGAACCAGGGAGGATGCTGCCTGGGCTTTGACTTCCATGTGTCGGTTTTTTCTCTGTGGGATTAAAGGAGTATTTATCAGTGGCAAACCTAAGAGGTGCGAAGGATGCACGTCAAAGACATCCTTCAAAAACAACACTGTTATGCAATTTTTGTAGAACATTTATGAGTAGGGTAATTGTACAATTTTAGATTTGGTTGTAAATAATATAGATTGGATTATATATATATATATAATCTCAATTTCTGTTCCTTTCATCTGTTTACTGACATTCTGCCTGTTGCGAATGACATAAATGATTTGAGTTCATAGTTGATTGTGTTTTGTATTTTAAAGGCTCTGTTGACATCCCTCGTGGCCATGAGCTGAATGAATCTGCTCCAGCATACTGCAGGCAAACTCTTTCTCAGCAGTTTGAAAGGAACAGTCTCTTCTTTTCAGGCAGATGCGTTTATGTTCAGAACAAACCTTTTGAATTGTATCCGTTTTTTCGACAATTTACTGGTTTTAGAGAACCAGGGAATGTCTTGTATTTTTCAAGATGGTAGGGATAAACGAACACATTAAGAAATGGAAATAATGAGAAGGATGATATTAATGTAACATTTCCTTTAATGGATCACCACTCAAGAATTCATTGGGTAGATTTTATTTGGGCAAGAAAGGGAATAATACACACTTCATGTCTCAGTGGCTGAGCTGCAGTCCGATTATTATAATGTTCTTATTTTTTCACCGCCTTACCTGGTGCTCATGTACACAAACATTTAAACTACAGGGTTTTTTTATTTTGTATTTGATGTATATATTTGTGTTAATGGCACATGTCATGCTTTTGTGAGATAAATATATATAATCTGATTTAAAAAAAAGGAACATGCAACACTTTTCAAGGTCGATATGAAAAACACCACACGGCCTTCTAGTTGTCAGTATTATAGGAATACGTTCTGTTTGCCTGCAGTACTTCTCACTGTGGATTCATCGTCCTAAAGCCAACTCATTTTGCATGTCCACCATTTTGTTGTCTCCAGTAGTTTGTTAAGCGGCGGGCGGACTTGTTCTTTGTTGTCACGTTTAAGCCGGCTTTATAAAGATGAGTGGTAGAGGAATCTATAAAAACAGGTGCTCATGTTTATCTGAATGTGTTTCACTTTTTCAGCATTTACTTGATCAGACAGGTCAGCTGTTTCTAAGAGAAAACACAAATACGAATAAATCACTGACAATATAAACAAGGTTTCGTCTCAGTTTGATGCTTTACCTGCTCAATGTCCTATTTGGTTTTAAGGAGTTGGAGAAGTGATACTTCTGAAGATAAAACCGTATCCAGCAATTCCTTTATTCACCACCGCACAACAGACTGAAGGTACCTTTTAGTCATACAATTCAAATGTCTCATTGTTTGTAAAAAATAACATGTCAAACAAATTTCGAACAGCAAAAACAATTCAAACGGATATAGATATATATATATTTCAGTTAATAAAAAAAGTTCCTCATATATATTAATTTAAAATTAATGGCTCATAAACGCACAATCAAAAAGCAAAAACGTTACATGTTTACCGCACGATAACCATGTTAGGCATTCATACGTTAACTGAACCATACGCTTATTAATAGATGATTTGATATTTACAGTTATGACATAAGGAAATCATATTTAAGGCCATTGGGTTGAGTAACGCAACAGTCCAATAGTGGAGAAGTTCACTTATTTATGTAGTGATAAAATGTCACTTTTTTTCCCTTTAAGTTTAAGTGACACAACCCCATGAGCAAGGCTCAATAAACGTGGCCCATTAACGCAATAGCAAATTCATTCTGCTCACTTTGTAGCAAATCTTTGGGTAAGCGCGGGTCGTTGGAATAGTCCCCTTTTGGGGGGGAAAGTGAGACGCCCAAATTCAGGACTGAGGTAGTAAAGGTGCTGCGGGCCGTGCGGACTCTTCCTCTGTCGGCAGTCCAAAGACCGAGCTAATGAGATCGTAAAGGCTGTTGTGTGAAATCTGTAGGCTGACGTTGGCGCTGTGAAGAGACGAGGCTCCTTCCATCTGGGCGATCTCATGGTAGTGTCGACAGATCAGAGGGACCACCTGCATGGACACATTTTACAGCTCTTTTAAAGGAAAAAACGAAGGCACAACTAAAAGAGAGGCAAATACCGAGTGTGTGTGAAGATTATGCAAAGCAGGAAGGAGGGTTACTTTGACTACGATGAGCTTCTTCTCCAAAGGTTTTCCATCGGGGAACTTCTCTCCGAAGCACATGTTGATGGTGTACTCTGGAGAGCCGCCGTTGTTGTCTCTAAACTGCTTCAGTTCTGCAACAAAACTCGATTCATCACCATTTAAGTCACGTATTTCACGTGAGGAGGAACAGCAGAACTATAGACGATGAGTCTGAATTTAGTTCAAATCATCAAGATGTCCACACCTACCATTTACATACTTCTCAAAGCTGAGGAGCTCCACCCTGGTGTTCTGGAGCAGCTTGCTGGGCTCTGGGTGAGCCACTGAGGGGTCACTGGTGCTGGCAAACACGTGGCACCTGTCCTGTCTCCAGGCATAGATGCCAGTGTCCTGCACCTCCAGGAAGAGACCCCTCTGGATGTTGTTGAGGATGCGGTTGGTGAACTCAACCTGAAATATGTCGGCACGCTTATTATGTAGAGCAGTGTATGGTCTATAAACGTGTGGGGACATTCCAGCCTAAATATTCAGTATTTTTCTTGTCTGGTGCATTTCTATATTTCATGTTATGCGGAAAAGGAGAAGAAGGAAGGAAGGAAGAAGGAAAAGAAGAATAACATTTCTGACAAACCTCCGATAGAGATGTGGTGGAGAAAACAAAACCTTTCATTGCACATTGCAGCCTGTGATGCGGGCATTTCTTATAAACAAAGACATAATAATCCCTTAAATGGGTGCTGTGAAGTTTCTATGAGTGGCTCCGAGTCTTGTTGGATCTTGTGCATCCACAGGACGCTGAGTCACTGACATAATGCACATTCCTGCTGATAGGTTCACACTATCCCACTGACATCCACAACTGGTGCTAACCCAGAGAAGAAGGGTTGCAAAATTCCAGGAATATTCAAAGTTGAAAACTTTTCACGAGAATTAACAGGAATTACCAGAAATAAATGGGAAATTTGCAGGTAATTTAACTGTATTTACCGTGTCATAAGCAGGCATGCATGCAAACATGTCTAATAAAACATTTAAAAAAACAACAGCAGGACAGCAAGGTGGCGGTAAAATAACTAACACAGACGCTCACTGTCTTTCGTTTAGCTTTATGCTTTTCTGTATGCATGGCGGTTATGTCAGTAACTACACCTGAGTGAAGGTCCCCCCCTTCCTTGGCAGAAGTAGCTAGCATAGCATTGGCCATTTAAATGAATTGGAGTCGTAATCTGTCATTCTCTACGTTTTTTGAAAACTCTTAAAATGCAGTCTTACTACCTTCCTGTTCGAAATCTGTTATTTGGTCTCTTCCCCCTTTATAAAATACCATAAAATCATCTGCTTGACGGTCAGTTTTTGTATTAAATGTATATCTTTTGGCGTTTTCTCGCTTAGATTTTTCAAAATTTACTGAGAAATAAAAACACTGTTCTATCCGATAACTCCATTATTGTAACCAGCAATAATGGTTGATGTGATTTGCGAGGCGTCAGCCAACTTTCTAACATTAGCACGTTAGCCTACGTTAGATAGCCTCCGTTCTTTCAGCACACCAATGGCACACTTTGTCATCTACGCATCAACTATCTTAAAAGACTGTTCAAAAACGTTTTTTTGAGATACCTTCATCCGTAAAACATTCTGGAGTCAGACACCTGACTTGACGAGACATCCAGGTAGTAAGACGGCTATCTTACTCTAGAGTAGCCATGCCCATCTCGCGCTCAGGTCAGCTCAAAATGAATACATCTTCTCCAACGATAGGCTGCCAGTTTGTTAATGACTTGTTTGTCTTAATATATTCACCCCAGTAATATCATCAAAACTCGTGCTCAAATGCAGTAGTGTGGCCTCTGCTGTAGTGGGACAAGTTGCCCAACTTTTTGATGGACCCCGAAAGCTTAATGTATGATAATAATTGAGGTGATGGTGTACTTTTGTGTGGACATACATACATCCTACTCTCACTGCTGTATACAAATAAACTTGGTATTAAAATGAACATGGCTTCAGTTTACCAAATAATCAATATGCTCAGTAATGACAAAGACGTTCATGTTTACGTTTAGGTTTCTGGCAGGCAATGTTCCCAACCAGCTGAGCTCGGCGTGCATAGTCTTGTTCTCAACTACATTTAAGTTCCCAGTTATAGGCTTTTGCAAAAAAGATTTTTTTTGCCAAAAATTGCAGAGCCAAACTTCCCGTGGAAACTTTCCGGAAACTTTCTGCCCCTTTGCAACCCTAGTAATGCAGAGGCGGGGTAGAGGAACACTGCTGGTAAACAATGGCCGACTTAATGTTTAATGTCAATGTTTTATGTTGAAACAATATAATTTTGGAATATGTTTGATGAAATAGGCGAAAGAAAGTGAGAAACTGCTGGAAGGTGTTTTTGCATTCAGTAGTTTTGGGGAGGTTTCCTTAAATGTCCAGGTCACCGCCTACCTGTCTTTGGTCCAGCAGACCGTCTGTGGAGGGGAAGCGGATGCGATGGCCGTCGAGCTCAGGGCTCTCGTGCTGGTAGTGTAGCTGGAGAAGGGCAGTGCTCAATGTGACCTTTAGCATTTCCCGTTTCCTGTAGTGGATGGAGACCTCCAGGTCAAATATACTAGGCTGCTGCGGAGGTGAACTTAGGACTGGTGGAGGATTTACTGAAAAAGAACCAGCAAAAACACAACCAAATACTTACACATGACAAATTACAATCATTTCTTTCCCGTCTTGCATTTCAATAAAGGAATTTGAGTATTTGGCCAAACGTACCCTCACAGTAAGAAGGCTGGTCTGGTACAGGCTGCAGGTGGTGCTCAGCTGCTACGGGGTAGCGGCTAAAGTCCTCTGCCATATTCTCTAGTAAAGCAAATAAAAAGCACATTGAAAATAACATTTGTTCTCATTTCACCATGTAAAAAGATGAACAGGGAAGGAGGAAATTCAACCATGACTTGTATGGTATCTCCCTGAGCATGAGCCCCCCTACCTGATGTCTGGTTTCCGAGATCCAAGGCCATTAAATTGTCAAGTAGAATAAGCTGTTTGAAGAAGAAATGAGCATATTTAGGCATCTAGTGAGTATTGAAAAAGGACTTTGTGATATGAAACCAAATCAACAGAGAAGTGAAAGTGCGCTCTAGGCAATACGGCACCTCGTCTTCAATGGGGAAATCTTCTATGGGGAAGCTGCATATATCGGGACGCATGTAAGAATCCCCCGGGGAGTCTTGAGTCGGTGGACTTTCATAGTTGTCTGCAGGTAAAGAAAGAGAGAGACATCGTTTCATTTGCATTCAACTTCAAAATAAATGATGGAAGCGGAACGTGGATTAAGGGACTATCGTTTTACACTCAGCGTCGATAATCTCGAAGATCTTATGAGGGTCGTCCAAATTCTTGGAATTATCCATTATCATCTTGAAGCGCTTATCGATGTTGTTCATGGCGCATCGGAAGTTGGTTTTCCACCTGGCCTTGTTGTTGGGGAACTCGTGGATTTTTCCACTTGCTACCGCCCATGCCTGTGTGCCACAATAGAACATTTAAATGCAAAAAAAAGGTACAGTCCAATAAAGACACGGTACAGCGATCTTTCCATCGTTCTCAAGCTACGAGTGTCTTTCGACCCACTTCCCCTGTGGCATCTCTACTGAGCCTCAGCTTTGGCTCGAGGGAAGTGCAGGCGCTCCACAGCTGTTGCTATGCTATAATTTCCCCTGCCATAATTAAGCCCTGTAGCGGAAATGACTTGATGGGGGATTTTCATCTAGAATCCACCTGAGGAATGTTGGTGGAACAGTTTCTTACCAAATGGAAATACAGTAGTGACACAATACAGCGTCAAACAGATGTCAACAAAGCCATCGGCATGTGATCTTATCATGCAGTGTGAGGTAAGATAGGTGAAGTTGAATGGAGGCGGTTGAACCTACTCGGAATATTTTACAGTCTTCATCGCTGCAGTCCTTTCTGGAGTTGTGCTTCCAGGGGACTCTGAACCTGTTTTGGCCTTCGTAGCGGAGGCCCGTGTACTGGCCCGTCTCCACCTGCTCTATGAGCCAGCGGGCGAACGGAGGCTTGGGAGGGCTGAGAGGGACACATGACAGATCAGCGTGCTGCTTCTTCTTCGGTGAAACACTTCCCAAGAGCAGAGGGAGGAAATGGACACACACGCGCGCGCGCACACACACACACACGCGCACCCGCGCACACACACCACGGCTATGGGTTGAATGCTGACAGTTCAAAGGCTATACGACGCCCACAGCACCCCGTGACCCTTGGCATGGTGTGCACAAGCAACGATCAGCGACATACAAGAAGGGATTCTCATTTAATCTTTACTCGGGCAACCTACAACCTCAACACGCGCGTCAATCCACTCACAGCCCCAAGCAAAGAAGGAAACGTCATAGGAAGAGGCATGCGGGCTGGTCTGCCTACCTTTGCATTTCTCGGATCGGAGAGTTGCTCTCGCTCGCTGTTGATGTGCGATCCTCGATGCACCTTTGCAGCCTTTGGTATAAATAACATCAGTGACGCTCTTTGGGGTTTCGCCGTCTCCTCCCCCGGGGTGACGGCGCAACCACGTCAGCATTTCCGGCGCAGGCAGAGAGCGAGTTTGATTGAAGGAAAAGCGAGAAGGGACCTCCTCCGGAACGAAACGCTCCCTCTGCAGACCGGACGTAGCGATCGTTTGATTGGGAAAGTGGAAGCTGCAGTCGGAAAAAGAGTCTTTCCGGTTATTCTCTTTTCTTGCGTCACCACAACAGCCCGCGTTTCATCGTCGAGGTTTTCAAAGGGATGTTTTCACGTGGGCGGTCCTCGCGCCGTGGCCACATTTCTTCATAATATTGCCCTTTATTATAACTGGTGTGTGAATACCTAATAGAGTTGCTCTAATTCCACAGTGTGTAACTAGTATGCATGAAGCTGCAGAGTCATACAGCCAATGACAGTTACAAAAGTATATGCAGAGTGAAATCTGATGCACGAGCTAAACCAAAATGTCCTCTGTATGTCCCAAATGATTAAAGTTATCCAGTATCATTCTGCAGTGTTTGTAGGCCAGCATGCTTTTGTATCTATTCTGAGCCCCCAAAAGCCCCTCATCGGCACGAGGGTCAAAGCTCCGGGTAAAACGTACTTGTGATGGGTTTAATTGAATGCATTCAACATGCAACAGTTTGTACTTTGCATTGGCAGATGAAGTACATGCAGAAGGAAAAAATAAAAAGTAGGCGATAGGGGTCTGTGTGCCAAGTTTCATTTCATAGCTTTAACCAAGATCTCGGTAGAGAATTAGCATCATTGCTGTCATATCTTTATGTCGATGGGGTTTTGTTGTTGGTAAGAAACCTGTAATGAGGCCTGTGGTCTTATTAGGTTTAGGCTTATTAGATTGTTTCTATGTGATCTGGAATAAATGAGACAACATAAGGTCATCATGACCGTTCACCCTTAACACATTTTCAAACGTATCCCTAGTATTATTTCATAGGTATTTCCCATGTGATGGTGAGTTATCAACCTGCTCTGACCTGTAGGCTGTTTTTAGGGATTTCTTTCTTAAACAGCTACCCGTGAAACCAGCCCTGTTCTGCAGAATATGGTCAAAGGAATCCACCTGCGAGTGTTCCATAGTTTGTAACATATGTGCTGCTAATTCAAGTGTAATACGGGACTTTCAGAGTAAAAAACCTGCAGGTGTGTGGTTGTGTCATGAGTTGCAATGAGACAAAAATACGAATAGCCAGACATTAAGTGAGAGTGCAGTGGAGTTTCCCTTTTTTCCACGACATACATTTTGATCCTCAGTATATTACTCAAAAACACTACTTAGCTTGCTCCAATTCCTCTTTCTAGCATCTGTGTTTCCTGCATGCCCAAAAGTAAAACTTAATTATTTATTTTCTTCTCGTCCACTGGAATCTTATTCAACCGTTTTATCCTCAAACTAAAGGTCAGGTTACTGTGCATGCCAAGCCTACTTCACTTTACTCACTTCTCGTGGAGATTGCTTTTTTTTGTCTGGCCGCGTTCTGACCGCAGACTGCGGAAGGGATGATCTACGGCTTCATGAAGCTTGTATCCGTCTCTGTTTAAGAACTATGGCTAACACGGCCATAGCCCAGTACACATCTGTGAGTAATAGAGAAGCGATACGTATTATGATGGAGCACTTCCCCTTTCGAGCTCACTGGAAATACTGCTTCGTCCTTGTTGGAGGCCCCTCGAGAATGCACAGGCCTCTCAGGAAGGAGAGCTCGGTTATCGAAAGATGACACGGATGGCTCACATCCTATTTCACACTTGTTTTCTAAATATAAAGGCAATATCATACATGTGTTGTTCTGTAAATTGAAATATTGAATATTTAGTGGCAGACGCAGAGCAGATCTTTGACAGAACGGTGCGCTGTTTTGCTTTGAGCACTTTTTCTAGTCCCTGTGCATGCCGGCATGTGAGTGCCTACTACATGACATGCCACACTTTATAGGCACAATTGTTGTTACACACGCACACTTCACCAGCATTATTTCTCTTTCTCTCACCTGCGGCGCGTGTTCGATGTGAGGCCATGTTGACTTAAGCCACTGCAGTGTGAGTGTATTTAAAAGAAACCTGCCACGGTTCTCATAAACAGCCACACCTTCACCTGACAGTGACACAGACTTAATTGATAGGTGTGAGTGTATTTCCGTGGCTGGACTGAGGAAAACAATAGTATAGGAAATAATAAAATTGTATAATATACAAATACATATATCATATGGATATATTTTGATATAAATATACAATATATGCGTGACTTTTATGTAATGTATCAAAGAGTTAGTCACACCCAATGAACTGTTTGTTGAACTTTGTACTTCACATCTCCCCAGGCTGTCCATGCATGACTCATTGTTTGGCAAACTGAGAACACGCACACTGATTTGTCTTGATATATTTGCAAACTAATTAAGTCATCCTGATGCAGAAATCTCACTAATAATCGACAAATTAAAGCATGACAAAGTCTTGCCAAGACTTCTTTAGCAAAGGTTATCATAGTACATGATTATAGTGCTTTTTTTATGATGGCAAATTTATTAGACACTAGTTTTTACGTAGCATGGAGAGATGTGTCATTTCAAAGGCTCTAAATGACCTGTGTTGAACGATCTACTGTGATCTACCGTTTTATTTTCATTTTGCGCCCTCTGCTGTTAACAAGGTAGAGAAAGATTTGTGTTTGAAAGCGAGCATTACAATTAAAAGAAGTCAAAGCATTCAATTCATTAAGAGAAGCATGAAAAAGCATACATCAGGCCAAAGCAAGTCAACATTTGCACAGTTGAATAATATTACCTTCAGAACACAACCATAAAGAAAGAAATGTCAATGTTCTGTGCAGGAGAGATTCTTGGTTATACATTGACTGAGTGTGACAATCAATATTTGCGCTGTCATTTTTTATTTGAATAAAATGAAGTTTGTGTAAAGTGCTCTGTATGGATGTCAAGAACCAAATGAGAGTAATGCTGTATCAATACGTTTAACCATTAATAATGGGATTGCATATCTTAGCATGAACGTTCTTCAGCTTTAAATATATATTAATATTTAGAAGTAAAAAAGATGGTGCAAGCTGTGATATTTGAAAGAGGTGCAAAGTGAGTTTCATTTTATTTTGTATGAAACTAGATAAATGAAGTCTCTTATATATCAATAGTGAACAACTTTTTTAGTCATCAGGCAAAAGTGATTATTAAGCGAGCATTTCATGTACATTCATCAGTAGTATTCAAATAAAGATTTTCTCAATTCATTTAAAAAAAAAAAGAATAAAGCTTTTGTTGGAAATAAAAGTCCTCAAGATCTGTCTTTTCTATGTGTGGTGTCCTCTGCGTCCTTGTTGTCATAGTTCCTGTATCATGTTCTGCCACTAGAGGCCACGAGTGTCCCACTTTTATTAGAAAGGCAACGGTCTTCTCATTTCGACTCACACTCCTTCGCTTCTAGAATTTGCTGGTAAGGAGACTGTCACGAAACGTATTTCAAAATGGTATTTTAACAATGCCGAATGAAGCCAAATCGGTTTGAAGCAAATACGACTACCGTCTACTGGAGGACGACGAAGCCATTATTGTGTTTCACTGTCCAGTCACATGTGGTGCTGAAATGCTGCGTTCACGCATCTGTACTTACGAGTTGCGCTTTGGTTTTTACCAGACTATGTGGTAAACGCATATTACGCATAACACTATAATCAAACAATTTAAAAAAAGTGTAAAGGTTGCATTCAGCTGGGAGTTCAACAGTTGTATTTAATTTAACAAGACTTTCCACCTGTCAAGAAAGTGTCCACAAACTGGACCTGCAGAGTGTGTAATAAAGCACGCGGGGGCATCCGGACGCCTGCGCGTCATAAAAAGTGTATCGCGTCCTGCCAATCATTACGCACGGAGACACGCTTGCACTTTATTTAGCACTGTAAAGCCGTAGCCTGGATACAGGGGAGAGCGTCCTTGGTATTTGTGTTGCAAAGGGCTCGAGGAGAATGATGGCCGATGGGGGGAGGAAGGGGGTTAGTGGGGGCTGATAATTTGAAGACTTGCCAAGGGTACATTGTCAAATTCAAAAGGCATTTCAAAGAACCAAACCATTCACTTTTTTTGTCCCCTCCTCTCCTGTCTCTGTCTTTTTTTTGTCCGCCTTACTTTCCCCTTTGCACGGTTGCAGGCCGTTTGAATCGACCAATGGGCCTTCAAGTTGGGGGGACATAGGAATGTAAATGAGCTCAGCGCGTGCTCCCGGCCCAGTGAAAGCTCGGGATTGTTTATTGAGCTCCCGGAGCCACGCGCCTGGCCCGGGGGGAGTCGGCGTGCAGAAGAATCACACAGCGGGGGCGGGGCCTCGCCACGAAGCGTGCGTCTCCCAAAAAAAAAGGGGGGTGGGTGGGTGGGGTGTGCGTCGGGGCGCGTGTTGAAAAAGAAGAGTGCTGCCAAAGTTTGGGTCAGATCGGCTCGTGGAGTAAGTAGTCAAGAGAGACTTGGACTCGAGTTAGCCACACGGTCCCCCACGCGAAGGACACGAGAGCTGTGCGCTGCCAGCCCCCTTTCCCGTCACTTCAGAACAAAACCACATCGGGCGAGATGGAAACGACCACCATCACCACCACGCAGACCGCCTTCACCTTTGGATTTACCGAAAGACACGCCAGCATCAGCCTGCACGCCCCGGCCCAGGACTGCGCGGACCCCGCCGCGCACCCCGGCGCCGACGCCGCGGGCTTCCAGAGTAAAACCAAGGTGCTGAAGAGACAGCGCTCCAGCTCGCCCGAGCTCCTGCGCTGCAAGCGGCGGCTGAGCTTCAACGGCCTCGGCTACTCCATCCCTCAGCAGCAGCCCGTTGCCGTGGCCCGGCGGAACGAACGGGAGAGGAACCGGGTCAAGCAGGTCAACATGGGTTTCCAGACGCTGCGTCAGCACGTGCCCAACGGCGCCGCTAACAAGAAGATGAGCAAAGTGGAGACCCTGAGGTCTGCGGTGGAGTACATCAGGGCTTTGCAGCAACTGCTGGACGAACACGACGCGGTGTCGGCCGCTTTCCAGTGCGGGTTGCCCTCCCCGGCCATCTCCAACAGCTACTCCGCCGACCCGGAGTCGCCTCACTCCACCTACTCATCGGACGAGGGCAGTTATGAGCCTCTGAGTTCCGAGGAACAGGAGCTGTTGGACTTTACAACCTGGTTCGACCGGTACTGAGGACGACGGGAGCGCCTGTGCGTAAAAATATGCGTTCTTTCCGAAAACACTTGGTAAAGGCGTCAGATCAGTCTCGCTGTGATCCTTGGAAGTGATCTGTTGCCTCCCTCCCTCAAACCGGGCTGCAAAGCAATAGAGAGAGAGAGAGAGCGAGAGAGAGCGAGAGAGAGAGAGAGAGAGAGAGAGAGAGAGAGAGAGAGAGAGAGAGAGAGAGAGTCTCTGAGTCCCCACACGAAGGAGGGAGTTGGACTCAGTGTTACGTTGACGCGTGGAAGGAAAGACCTGATGAAGTGCAATCAAAAGACGTGAGTCAGCAGGTTTGGCGATGCGGCCTCCAGAGGACTTGTTGGATGAAGACCGCATCCCTCTGCCACGTCCTCTGGAAAAGACAATAAACAAAGATAACGCGTCGTTGCTGGTCCCTTTTCATACTTAAAAAAAACAAAAACATCATTGTGTCAAAGAATAGTTTCCACATGAAGGGCACATATTTTTGTACATGAGTCAAACAAACAATGTTGTTGAGCAGCCGGCTGTCAGTGAGGCAGTGAGTTGCCATGTATTTGTGTGACTGGACAACAATATCAAGGCAACCTGTGACACATTGTTTTCCTTTTCTTCTGCTTCTTCTTCTTTAAATTTCAAAAGGAGACCTTTACCAATGTATGCACTTGTTCTCCACGTCCCGTAGCCTGAAGTGTAAATATTTGATTTTAACAGATATATTTTGTGTAAAACAAGTTTTATAAATAAAGATGATTCTATTTATATAATATGCTTCTGCAGTGGTTTGGTTCTTACAGTGATGCCGCACACATTTATTCTTACACGTGTGTTTGTGTGTGTGTGTGTGTGTGTGTGTGTGTGTGTGTGTGTGTGTGTGTGTGTGTGTGTGTGTGTGGCGGTAATTGAGCAAACTAGTGAGCTTCTCTTCCATTCAAAGCTCGCGCATGACCTTTAGCCGCCTTGCCTGCGCACACGGGGGAAGATTGCGCAGCTGGGTGAGCACTCAATAACCATTATGGACGCGCACCTTCTACGGCGCTTTGTCTCCATTCAGGACAAGGAGATTAATATTACGTTTCATGCATCGCATTGTTTCCTTTGCGTATACTGCTGCCTTTACCCAATAGCCCAGAGGGCCTGGAGCGTAGGAAGAGATGGTGAGGAGGGGGGGGGGAGGATAATTCACGCCTCTCAAAGGGTATAGACGCTTTGAAATACGGCCCGGGGAAAGTCAGCGAGACAATGACAGAGGTCAAAATTCTTATTGCCCGATTGAGATCAATCTAAATAAAAACCCGGGGTTGTAGACTCGTTGTATCCCCAACTGTGTTTTTCATGGGGCACACAGTGAAATCAAAAAGCCCATCTCCTGCGAAATGGGGAGCCCGACGCCACATAGTGAGCACTATTGTGTGCGCCTTTGCGCCTCATTATGCCAATTATGGAAGATTTTCTATTGGAATTAAACACTGTTGCAAAATGCAGCCAGGCAGAACGACAAATAACGAGTTTAATTTCACCCGGTGCTCTCTGTGGTAGTGGGGAAGTGAGGCGGATTAAAGTTGGTATATGGTTCATATTTTCTGTTAAATTAGAAAAACTGAAATACATTTTTATCTTCCAACTTCAATCCAAAAATGAAAAGGTTGCTTGTTTTCTTGCACCTAAAAGTGTGCCACAGACATTAATACACGCTCCACCTCTCCCTCTCTCTCTCGCGCGCGCCTTTTCTTTCTTTCACACACACGCACACACGCGCGCACAACCACTGCAGCTTGCAGGTGTAAGCCACGTGCCTGTGCTTGGTGACAAAGGCTCTCGCGCTCCCATTGGTTAATGGCTCGCGTATTTGATGTGAGGCCCGTCGCTCCTACAAATGATGAATGACATTAATTACGCTCTGCTTTATAGCCTCCTACGTCACAGGGCCTCAAAAAGACAAATCAAAGGCACGAAATACCCCGCTGCTCCATTATTATACGCTTGAAATGATGTTTCTGATGTCCTTCAGTGTCAAGCAGAGGCCAGAGCACAAAGTAGAAATAAGGTCATGTCTCCTGTCCATTAAGATGGATATGCAATTTCTCTCCTCAGCCGTTTGGAATGAGCAAGGGCAAAAATAGATTTATTCATGTCCTCTTCGCTTACAATACATGTAAATGTTGTCGTAATCCAATGATGAATGGTCACTTAAATGCAGCTCATTTATGCATGCGTTTTCCTTCGCAAAGCCATGATGTATGCATGAACTATGGAAATGCCAAATGCGAACATATATAGATTACAAGAGGAAAGAGTGGGGCGGCGAGGAATCATCTGTTGCTCCACATGCAGTCATCACAGTGCCCGGTGGACTTTTTAGCCATTTTGCATGAATGAAAGGAGGCTAAAAAAGTTTTCTCACGACATGAACAGTTTTAATTGCAGGCCAAGTTTACATAATAATAGAAACTAATAAAACATCCATTTATTTTATTTATAAGTGTTGAGTGAAATCTTAAACAGTTTTTCCTTCAGCTGTTACTAATGCTGTAATGACTCCCAGCTGTAAATGATGGTTGACTTATAGGGGTGAATTACTTTTTTATCATGTTCCAAAATGTATTTATAATTAATATCTCAAGGTGACTGTAAACTAAGAACACAGGCTGCGTTCAATTACAAGCAATAATTGGAATAGCTGCAGCCCGTCGATCAAAGCTCATATAGCCACACGGCCAACAAAGCAACAAGTGCATCAGTCATTCCCTACTATGCATGAAGACAACAATATCACCTGCTTCTTCTCTAAGGTTTATAATTAATTATTCAATTCCAAACAAACAGCTTTTAGCAGATAAAACCACTCGATTCCTTCTGAGTTTACCGTAGCACAAATAACGTTTTTTTTCTCTCACAGAAAATAACTAACTAATGCAAAAGGTGTGAACCACGTAGAAACCCACAGTTGCTCTGTGAAATACTACACAGCTGTGAAGAAGAGCACAGACTGAGCAGTGATGCAGACGAGAGGCACAACCTTGAGCAATGCTTACAGAGGTGTTAATGTTTAAGCAGAGTCACAGACACGTTTATACTACAGAAAATGTGCTGAGACCATCTTGGAGTAGTCAAACACACACATACAGACGGGGAGAGGCAGCTGGTTCAGAAAAATCTGCTGACCCCTTGGCTATTGATCCGGTAAGGTCCCTGGCAGTAGAGGCACAAGGGACCCACAAGTACTTTGCACTAATCACTCCTGATGCTCTGGTCAGTCCCCTGCAGGTAACATTGCCTCTCTGATGGCAATTTACATTTAAAGAGTCTCTCTCCTCCTCTCTTTATTTAGAGTTTTGGGAGCTGTAGATGGAATCTTCTTTGGGGATTAAGTACTTTTAATGGCATAACAGGAACTGATCAGGGCTATTGAGAATTTAATAGTTTTGTGATTCAAATTCAAACGTTCTATCCCAGAGTTGGAAAATGGACTTTCATTGGACTGAATATCGTTCAAAGATGTTCTGAAGTGCGAATCGGAGTCAGGCGCTGAGTTTCATTGCTGTGTGGAAGGAATTGATATCTGGATGAATATGAATATTATCTCTGTGGCAAATGGGTCTTTCAGGTTTCATTCAATATCACAGTGTCACTCCAATGTGCAGGAAATCTCCCCACATTAAAAGAAGGAGCCTCGCCCACAGCGCCCAAGTCATTACACTCATGTTTTTCTATTATCTTTCTCTTTTCAAGCGAACGTTTGAATGCATGCAGCTCAGCGCTTTTAACAGACACCTCTGTATATGTGTGATAGGCCCTAAACTTCAGACAACCCAGCAGAGGAGGAACCAAGCTCCGACCTGAGGGTGAGGGATGAGTAGCTGGGATGTGTGTAGGTGAGTGCGGGAGGGGTGGGGGTGGGGGTGGGGGTGGGGGGGGGGGTGGCGTGATTTGCATGGGCCATTGGGCGGCCCAAGTTTGGGTACTTCTCTTCTGAGGCACCGAACAATGTAGTCTATTACTCTCCACTCCCACTTGCAGTGGCGTGCTGTGAATAGTCTCCGCTGGGAGGAGACCTCAAAGGCGCTTTTGTGGTGCGGCCGCCCCATATTCTTCATGTAATGCCTGTAAGACATATCTGATTGGACGTCTCTGTCATTATGATGTGAGTCCAGAATGAGAGGAGAGGGGAGGTGGCTTTCTTCTCTGTCTAATGTCTGGGGGGGGGGGGGGGGGGGGGGGTGCAGGCAGGGGGTAGTCCTCATTATCTGCAGGAGCAAATTCATAATAAATTTCCCCCGTTCTACAAAACCGGGTCGAGATGATTGACACTACTTCACACCAGGCCGAACAAAAGCCCTGATTTGAGCAGAATACCAAATGAATCGGGCGAGCGTGGACCCAATTCAAACAATTTTAATCTATCCCCGTCCTCCCTTACTTCTCCTCTCTCCCCCCTTTTCCCTCACACTTACGCTTTTTTTTCAACTCCAGTTCTCCTGCCTCTTTTGTACGGCGCATTCTCATTTTACAGGGTAATTCTTCTCCAACGGATGTGCTAATTGTGCTGGGTTAGACTGGACGCTGGTGGACTCCTGTGATACAGAGCCTATATTTGCCTAATGAATGTAACGATGGCTGACAGAGACGGCTGCATATCCTCGAGAAGGAGATGCTTTTCATTTATTTTACTTGTATCGGCTGACTAGGAAAGAAGAACATTGCTGCAGCATTGTTTTTCGAGATGATCTGCGTCCGTTCTAAGCGGTCGTTTCGGGTCCTTCCCTGATTCGCCACACTCCTGTCACGTGACCGTGTATGCCGTCTTCTTCCTGTTTACATTGTCACCCGCGTGCCCACTGTGCATTGATGATGATCACATACTTTTGAGAAGGTTGCCGTGTGGATGCAGATCATCTGGTAAACGATGCTGGAAGGCCCGTCCGTCTGGAAGGAGAAATGTAAGCGTGGATGTAGTATGAGTTCTGGAAGGATAAACGGATGGCGGACAAAATATTGAGTCCATTGGACTGATGCTGATTTTAATACAAGTTATGACTATTATTAGAGACATCTTGATTGTGATTAAACAGTAGACGTGGCCTCTGTGGTTTCTCAGGGTACATTTGGCTGCCTGAGGTTCAGTTTCCCTCTCGCTTATGGCGTCCATAAAATCCAAATCCTGGCAATGCAGTGAAGTCCTGGCTGGTAAGCAGGTGACCGCCATTGGAGGTATTTGTGACAGGCTAAATAACCCCAAAACATGCACATTTTAATATTTGGATTGAAGTCGTTTTAACACTTTTGTCCAAAGCAACGTAAAAATGAGGTGCAAACCAAACCACATCCCCTCCCGCTGTCCTGCTCCGTTCTCGCCCGTGTTTGTGAGGACACGAGTCGTTAATGCATCAAAGAAAGAAAAAAAACGGCAACTCCCTTTAACTGTCTTTTATAAAAACATGTTGTGTGTAGGCTTGCAGTATGTGTGTGTGTGTGTTTCTTCTTTGTGTGTGTGTGTGTTTAAATGGCTTTACTTCATGCGCCTGTTGATCAGGTGCATTCCCTCACTCACCAATACGTTGTCCTCTAGTGTGTGTGTGTGTGTGTGTGTCCAAATTTTATGTCTGTCTGCACATCAGAGGTCCCCCCTTTAACCTTGAAAATACCTTTTCTTCAACTTGCTTAAAAAACGTCCCCCTCACGCGCACACACACACACACACACGGACACACGCACACGCACACACAGCTATGTCCTTGGGTCCTCGACAGGTTGCAGCCTGCCCCTGGA